AAACACTGGCCTTGTCGTGGCAGATGTTCTGACAACGGACCAGCTGTTCCGAACATCTGAGCACCAGCAAAAAATGGAACGGCACAGCCATTACATGAACCTGCTGAAAGTTAAATTGCATAATACCATTAATATTCTCTGTCCTTTGTGATGGTGATGAACGGGCTGTTTTTGACCATATTTCTTGAGTATTTCTAAGTGGTGGTTGGTGTGCTCTCTCATCACTGTGTACCACAAGCACACTGAGGGGCGGGGGTTAGGCACTAAATGCACAAGTAGGACATTTCCTCCCTTTCCATCCTTATTTGGCCATCCCACCCACAAAACCTGACCCCTGGCTTCTTCAGGGCCATGGTAGTTTTAGGATTTAAATCATTTCACATGGAGAACATGAGAGACTGCTGTGGTGTTTCTTGCCCCGCACAGATGGGGAACACCGTTAACACATGACAAAGTCAGTTGTATTCATGTTGTAAAACTTAAATGCTGGTTAGGAACATGTCAGCTGCTGACATTATCATGTCGGTCTCCTGTCCTCCACACCATGGAGAATTTTAGTCATGGGCCGGAATCCCAGACTGGACTCTGGGACAGTTCCTGCTCCGAGGTTTGAAGAATTCGACAGCTCGACTGTCTAATCTGTCTCGGTCTCTGTGGATGAAAAGCGTCCTAGCTAAACATGTTTGGGGGAGAGGAAATCCCCACCCTCTAAAAAAATGATTTCTTCTTAGAATCGGAGAAGAGAAGAAAAGGGCAAGGGGTGTTTTTTGGAGTGTATAGAGCATGTTTATCATAAGCATTCCTAGCACAAGTGTAGCAGATTAAGAGATGCTCTATATTGTTAATGTTATTATTTAATTAATTTTAATATGCTTTGATTTTTCATCGTTGTCCTGTTTGATGCTACATATGCATATGAGGGATTATGGTTGTTTTTGTGAAAACAAAACTATATCCTTTTTTTCCACCAAGACCCTTCCAAAGTAATATTTTAACATTCTTGATAGAATTTTATTATGCCGTTTATCTTTTTTTTTTTTTGCTTGTGTGTGTCTTGCTTTGCATGTTAACTCTTTTGTGGACTAAAGTATTATTTAAAGTGGTTCTTTTGCTCTGCTGATGTTTACAATGACTTTCTAAAAGAGACAAAGCCAGCACTTTTAACCCATTCAGAATGGTGTTGTCTTGCCATCAGTTTTTAAAACATTTGGTCAGATACTCATCTGCATGCTTTTCCTTTCATCACATTGCAGGGCACACAGTGTCTGACATGCAGTATTCTTGTCAAATCAGTGGTGATTCAATACAATCAGTACACTGTAAAAAGAAGAGATGGTGTATTGAACTGTGAGACTCATTCCAATCCCTTGACTTGGAATAAGTCTATATTTCTCAGTTTTCCAAGCCTGAACATGATGATGCAGCACAGAATTCAGAATTTTTTATACGAGCAGATATTTTAGAAGGCTGGGATCGGCCTTATCTCATACTTTTGCTTTCTGACAGCCAAGTAGTGTTTGAAAACGGGAACGTGCTTGTTGCTCAGTGGTGTTTCCAGAGGCGAATACAGTATAAGCTGATCCTTTGCGCTGTGATTCAACAGAGAGTCTTAAATTGCTGTATGTAAAAGCTAGTAATGAAATTCGACTCAAGTTATTCCACTTGTGAACCTGCTCCAGCTGGAATGCGTTCAAGGCAGTGGTTTGACAAAACCCTCTCCATGTTTTTGCCTGGTGTTTTGGAGCTGTTGCCAAGCTCTGGCGAAATAAAAAGAGGTCGCTGTGCAGGTGCCTACCACCACCAGATACAGCCATACCTGGGAGGATGGAATTGCGCCAAAGAAACGCAAGGAATTTATTTTGAAATTTTATATGCCCACTGCCATCCAGAGATATGAGTTTGGAGATGGTTTGCTTCTCACTATTTAAATATCGTATCATGTTCCTTTAGAACGCTGTATCTCATGTTCTCCTATTCTGTTCCAAATCGTATTCTTTGAGTTATGTGGATTGCTAAGGTCTCTGAAATTTTTGTGGCTTACATCCTGCATTACACAACTGACTGCAGCTCGAGTT